CTTCCATAACAAGCGGATGCCTATGGTCAGGCCCCCCAGTCGCATAATCCTGGAGCCAAGGAGGTCAAAGAATATCCTGTGGGAAGGGACAATGCGGCTGGTGGAGGTAACTCGAAGGATGGCAAATCTGGATGCTCCTACTGTGCTACTCGAAGGTACAGAGGGGCGAATAAGCACGACGACGCGCGCTGCTGGAAGAACCCTGCGAACGCTCACTTGGTTCCGGACTGGTATCGTCAGCGCCAAGCTGAAGCTGCAGCAGCCAAGGCATCGAAAGGGCAAGGGGACGGGCAAGAGACCGTCCCAAAGGCCGTCCAATCGACGTTCATGCCACGCTCCGTTGACTCTGCTCATGAAGGCCTACGCGTCATCAGAGCTTCTGCTACCGGTTCATCCGGCCGAATTCTACCAGTAGAACTGCTGGTCGACTCTGGTTCGGATCTGACATTAATATCATCCTCGTCGGCGAGCATTATGGGCTTTAAAGTGACACCAGCTAGGGGGCTCAAAAAGCTCGAATCGGCTGGATCGCTAGGCTCCATCTGCTTGATAGGGCAGGCTCGGGTTCCGTTAGTTGTCAAGGATAAGGCGGGCCATGACCTCTCCTTCAACTTGCAGCTCAATGTTGCCGACGGCCTCAAACACCCTGGTCTCGGACCGTCCGAGTCGGACGGGTCACGGTTTTCATGGACTCCACTAGTGCTCTGGGCAAGATCGAGGGTCGTCTCAACTCCTCTACCTACCAGCCTACTACTCGACAGACTAAACGGTGGCTCTCGTGGCTGGCAGACCTGCTGGAGTACGATGAGGCTGATCTAACCTACCGCCATGCGAAAGGGAAGGATAACTCTTTCAGCGATCTCCTGAGTCGTCTTGCTCAAGGGGGACAGCGGTATGTCCCTGAGGGTGGTGGCGAAGCGTTTGTCTTGGTGACCTCGACATCACCCTCCCAAAGTGAACTACCTACCACGGATCGTTCTGCCTCTGTCCACGACTCTACCAGATGCATTCTGGCGGGTGACCTGAGAGTTCAGTTGATAACTCTTCAGAAGGCAGACTCCTCTACCCTCCTCCATGGTGCTACGCTACAGGCATGGCAACATCACTTTGACGGAGCTGGGAAACTTCAGAAATTAGCCGCGGAGGCTAAAGCTCTCGGCCTTGTCACCCATGTTGGAGGGGTGGTCATGACTATCTCTGAAGCTGCGTTGACTGGACCGATATCGCTTCCAGTCATTCCAGGAGGCGTAGTTACCGGTTTGAATGGCATGATCGGCACTAATGTCGACACAGACTGGAAGCTGCGAGATTGGCTCCTTTTTGTTGCCCATGAAATGGATTATCATAGACCTCACAGG